CCTTCGCTCCGAACCCACTTCTACCAGCCGATAGAAGCAGCTGGTGACTCTGCCTTTGGGGAGCTTCCGTTGGCCGATAGAAATGGCTTCGTGGCGAGGGGAGTGCGTGTGGGCGCTCGCCCTGAGGCTGCTTCTACCAGCCAGTAGATTTCCTCCCCCACGCGCACCCCCACCTAGAGCAGCCCATGCGCACTCAACTCTCCACGAGGCCGCTTCTACCAGCTGATAGAAGCGGCTGGTGATTCTGTCTTCAGGGAGCTTCCATCAGCAGATAGAAGTGGCTTCGTGGAGAGGTGACTGCGCATGGGGCACTCTAGGTTGGGGTGTGTGGGGAGGAGGAAATTAAGTCACCCCCGAAAAGACGTCCTAGCCTTTTTTTCGGGGCTCAAAAAAAAAAAAGACCCGGCCTTATTTTATGAGAAACACAGTACCAATATAGATCTATCTACCTACCTACCTACTTATCTACCAAACTACTTACCTACTTATTACCTATCCATACATTCATCCAAAAGGTCTGCCTGCCTGCCTGCCTACCTACCTACCTACCAATCTACCTACCTATCTACCTGTCTCTCTCTCTCTCTATCCATCCATCCATCCATCCGTCCATCCATGTTCGAAGCGCCAGCCCTGCAGGCACATTGGGAAAGTAGACCAAAGCCAGTCTGGGAGGGAGGGAGGGGGAGAGAGAGAGAGACCTGATGCATCAGATTAAAATGAGGCCTAGTTTATACTGAGGCCCTTTTCCACATTGAAACCTCTTTGCCAGCACATTGAAACCTCTTTGGCTTCTATTAAAAGTTTTGTGGACGAAACATGGTCAAGATTATCAGGAAGCTCTCACATTTTGTTGAGGCTTTAAACGGGATCCATTGGACCAGATCTTTCCCCAATGTATTACAGTGCCAATTCTGAAGAAGGCAAAACCAAAATGTACTGGTAAATTACAAGGAGAACACACACACACACACACAACACACACACACACATACACACACACACACTTCTAACCCTGCTGGAGCAGGTGATTGGACTAGAATAGATATCTCATTATCTTTCTCCTCCCTCCCTCCCTCCTTTATTTCTTTTTCTTTCTGTCCCTTCCTTGCATCCCCCCTTCCATGTCTGTCCATTTTTCTTTCTTTCCCTTTTCTCTTTATTTTCTTCCTTCTCTCTCTCTCTCTCTCTTTCCCTCTCTCAGGCTCACCCCATTGACTTGACTTGCTTGGGCAGGTCCCTCCAGTGCAGTGGGCTCAATGGGGTGGACCTGCAGGGCCGGCACCTAGAACACGGCAGTGGCGGCATGTTTGAAAAGTAGACCAAAGCCAGAGGTCGGTAATTTTTGCTGCAAAGAATCGCAAAAGCTTCTGGGTTGTGCACAAGAAGGGACACACATGTCAATGCAATTCAGCAACATAAAATAAAGAGATGCAAAGAAAATAAATCAACAAGAATCGGCAAAGCATCTCTGATTAGATTTTATTCACTACTAGAATCTAATCAGAGATGCTTTGCCGATTCTTGTTGATTCTTGTTGACCTGCTCCAGCAGGGTTAGAAGGGAGTGTGTGTGTATGTGTGTGCATGGCTGTCAAAACTGCAAAAACAGGTCAAGTATCTCTGGGGAGGCCAGTCATAAATTAGAACACTTGCTAAACAACTGGCCATTAAGTGAAAACCACTTGTTTGCCAGTCACCTGGCCACGCCCACCCAGTCACATGACCACCAAACCACACCTACCCGGCCATGTGACCAGCAAGCCATGCCCAGCCAGCAAGCCTAGCCAGCCAGTCACGTGACCAGCAAGCCACACCCTCAAATTAGGCCACACCCACAGAAATTTGAATCCCACCCCTGGGTGGGGGGCACCGAGGATGAGTTTGTAGCATCAAGGGAGCAATGGACTGAAAAAGTTTGGGAACCACTAATCTGGAATAATTCAAAAATAAACCCAAGAACTTCAAACAGGCTGATAGCTAAATTAACATGCACAGTAAGCATGTTTAAATATTTGTTTCCAATTAATGGAACTCAATATGGTGTTAAGTAAGCATAGATGTAGTCTTCCTACAGATTCTAGTCAGAAGTAAATCCCATTGAATTATGCTTGATTGACAGAAGCTTTATAAGGCGTATAGGAGTGCAGTTTTATCAAGTTATAGTTACTGATGAAAGAGGAGGGTTGAAATAGGGAGGTGTGAAGATTCTTGGCAATAAATTTTTAATGGTGTCTATAGATTACCAAATTTAAATTACTTACTAATTAAAAAGAAGATTGAAAGCTTCTGTTCAACACAATAAGAGATATCTGTGGCATTCTCATGAGTTCTTATAAGAGTTTTGTGCAAGAAAGAAAACTTCAATTTTGATATTCTTTGATGAAATCTCAGAGGTGAAATGGATGTCAGCTTAGGTATATTTCTTCATTTTTACACATATGTTCTCAGTGTCTTCTTTATTATTTTACATCACACAATGGCATCCGGTGCCTTAATAAGTTGCCGCTATTACTGTTTGAGGGAGCTTTTGAATGGAGCATAAATGGACCACCTTTGTGTGCCTCTGTAGTTCTTGACATTTGGGGAAGAGTGAAGGCAAGGATGCAAAATGGATTGAATCAGGCTTTGTTTATTGTTTTCACACTGTGCTAAATTTATTTTGAAAAGCACACACTATAGTTTTTGTCTGTTTTCCACCACACAAAATGGCAAAAATTAGGCCTCTAATTTTCAGCTGTTGTTGGACGGGACTTACAAAAACTACAAAAAAATGATATGTTAGCCCTTTTATTATTTATTTGTACATTTCACTATTTTTTTTAATTTTCATTAAAATAATTGTGCCATGGGCTATACATACAGTATACAGTATCACACGATTTTATGGGTAAGCATGTATTAGAGTTAGGCAATCTCTCAGGCACAAGATAGATAGATAGATAGATAGATAGATAGATAGATAGATAGATAGATAGATAGATAGATAGATAGATAGATATGTTTTCTTAAGTTTTCGCGGGTACTTACATGTATGTTATTCAGCTTTGTTCGGGT